TCTGCAAAGAAGGCAGCTCAATGAGGGCGAGATTACCATCAGCTTGGGCAACGCTACACGAGTGGCGGTGGTTGCAGTGGGAGATGTGCACTTATCTTTTTCTGATTCTGTTTTAGTATTAAAGAACCTTTTGTACATGCCGAGTTTTCGGAAGAATTTAATTTCGGTTTCGAAGCTATTTTTGGATGGATATTCAGTTATTTTTAATGACAATGTTGTTATTATGAGAAATAACTCTTTTATCTGTTCTGGCATGTTGGTTAACAATCTTTATACTATTACTTGTGCATATCATACTGTGACTGAGGCTCATGCATCTTCATTACTAAACAAGAGAAAGGAACCTTCTCAGTCGAATCAGACATATCTTTGGCACCTAAGGTTTGGTCATGTCAATCTAAGGAGATCCAAAGGCTGGTAGGTAATGGCTTCTTGGAATCTTTCCAAGTTGAACCATTTCCAGTCTGCGAATCCTGTTTGGAAGACAAGATGACTTCTAGGCCCTTTAAGGCCAAGGGGAATAGGTCCAATGATGTGTTGGAATTGATTCACTCTGATTTGTGTGGGCCTATGTCTATTCAAGCTAGAGGTGGTTTTGAGTATTTCGTTACTTTCATTGACGATTACTCAAGATATGGGTATATTTACTTGATGCACCGCAAGTCTGAATGCTTTGACAAGTTCAGAGAATTCAAGGCAGAAGCGGAGAACTGTCAATGGAAAAGTATCAAGTCACTGCGATCTGATCGTGGTGGCGAATACCTTAACAATGAATTTAGGCAATACTTATTAGAGAATGGGATTACATCCCAGCTGACTGCGCCTGGTACTCCCCAACAGAATGGCGTAGCAGAGAGAAGGAATAGGACTCTGTTGGAAATAGTGAGATCGATGATGAGCTATGCTTCATTACCTACCTCGTTTTGGGGATATGCCTTGGAAACGGCGGCGTACCTTCTTAACTTTGTACCTTCTAAATCAGTTCCGAAAACTCCAATAGAATTGTGGTCCGGGCGCAAGCCCAGTTTAAACCACATTCGGATTTGGGGCTGCCCAGCATATGTGTTGGATAAGGAAGCTGATAAGTTGGCACCTAGAACAAAAGTACGGCTGTTTGTAGGTTACCCAAAGGGAACGAGAGGTGGTTACTTTTATAGTCCTAAAGATCAGAGGGTAGTGGTTAGCACCAATGTCCGATTTTTAGAGGATGACTATATGAGTGAGCATAAGTCCAAGAGTGAGATTATTCTCAAAGAGTTGAGGGCAGACAATGGCATACTGAGTGTGCAAGAGGATATACCACAAGAGACTGCACAACGTGTTGACTCTGATGTACTTACACCCGAATTGCCTCGTCGTAGTGGGAGGGTTGTTCGTCAGCCCGATCGTTTCATGTTTGTGGGTGAGTCTTCAGACTTGATTCCAAGTGAAGAACATGATAGTGATCCCTGGACCTACAATGAGGCAATCCAAGACGTAGATGCAGATTCTTGGCAAAAATCTATGGATTCTGAGATTGAATCTATAGATGCTATGGATGTATACGACCTTAGGGACCTTCTTGAAGGCAAGAAAGCCATTGGGTGCAAATGGATCTATAGGCGTAAGAGAGGATCTGACGGGAAGGTTATTTCCTTCAAAGCAAGGCTGGTTGCGAAGGGTTTCACTTAGAAAGAGGGAATCGATTATGATGAGACCTTCTCACCGGTAGCCATGCATAAGTCGATCTGGATTCTCTTATCCATAGCAAGTCACATGGACTATGAGGTTTGGCAAATGGATGTCAAGAAAGCTTTCCTTAACGGAAACTTGGATGAAGACATCTATATGCAGCAACCCGAGGGTTATGTGAAGAAAGGCCAAGAGCATCGAGTATGGAAGCTAAATAAGTCTCTTTATGGACTAAAACAAGCTTCTAGGTCTTGGAATATTCGTTTTGACGAGGTGATCAAGTCCTATGGATTTGATCAATGTCAGGACGAAAGTTGTGTATACAAAAAGAGCAGCGGAAACGTAGTAGTATTCTTAGTACTATACGTAGATGATATTCTTCTCATCGGCAACGATGTCAAGATTTTGTCAGACGTAAAGGTATGGCTTTCAGAACAGTTTCAAATGAAGGACTTGGGTGAGGCATCGTACATTCTTGGAATTAAGGTCATTCGTGACAGGAAGAAGAGAATGTTGTGTCTATCTCAAGCTGCTTACATTGATACTGTGATTGCTCGTTTCAGCATGCAAAACTCCAAGAAAGGGTTGTTACCTTTTCGGCATGGAGTTCCTCTATCTAAGGATATGTGTCCGAAGACACAAAAGGAGATAGAGGAAATGGCTAAGGTTTCTTATGCTTCGGCTGTAGGAAGCCTTAAGTATGCCATGCTGTGCACGAAACCTGATATTTGCTATGCAATTGGCATGGTTGCGAGATATCAATCTAAGCCTGGTCAAGGACACTGGACTGCGGTAAAGCATATTCTCAAGTATCTGAAAAGAACTCGGGATTATATGCTTGTTTACCAGTCAGACGGTCTAACTCCTTTGGGTTACACAGATTCTGATTTCCAAGCTGATTGAGATAAGAGAAAGTCGACCTCGAGTTATGTGTTTATGATGGGAGGCAGTGTAATAACCCAGTTTCATGTTAATAAAAGTGATGTATTTTCTTTTATTAATCTCGTTCATTTTCAGCGAATAAGTTCGACTTTTAAGTCGAAAAGTTTATTCGGGTAATTATTAACCGAGTTCAAGTTGATAATTTATTTTATAAACGAATATTATTAATCGGAATTAATTATTGAAAGTTAAGCATGTTCGGATTTAAGTTCGAAGTCAAAACCAAAGCTAAGTCACGATTGTACACAAGGTACACATGCACGCACGCACGCTGCGCATGGTCGTGCGTGTAGCGCGCGCGATCGTGCATAGCGCACGTTACCGTGCACACGCACAGTTAAGCCACTAAGCGCATGCTTATGCTACACTAAGCAACATGTTCAAGCCTAAGTAATCCAAACTCTAAGCCTCCAAATTGCCGTGAGGATTTTACCAAGGGATAAATATTGGGTGCAAGTTGTGGCCATAAGTCACCTACTTGCTTGGACACATGGCACCATACTAAGCTTTCTTAGGATAACTAATCCTAGACCCCACACCACATAGCCTCAAATCGTGCCACACAAGCTGGTGATGAGGGAAGTAAAATGCCACCTACACACACGGTTAAAGCAAGTGGACCAATAAGGATTTGGCTCCAAATTCACCTCCATTCGTCCCCATTATTTAAAGAGGGAAAAATGTGAGTTTTCCCCCTTTCGATATCATGCAAAACCGAGCCAACTTCAGCACTTAAACTGAGGGAAAATAGTGAGGAAAAATAGAAGAACAATCGTACAAAAATAGCTAAGAATAGCCGAAGCGAAGGAGAGGCGAGCGCGCACCCAACCAAGCACCGAACACGCACGCAAGTCACCGTGCACTTCTTGACCAGACGGAAGGGTATACTCTTATTTACCCTCTCTTAATATATTTAAGTTCATGTTAGGAATACCATGTCAATACCATATCGTTCGGTCCAAATTTTTAGCAAAAACGCACTCGGAGGTGCTATATAAGCCCTCCCGAGTGATTTCAAAATAGAACCGGCAAGTACCGAGCAATTTATGTATATTTTG